TATTTTCAATCTTATTTATCCGAAAATAAAAAGTAAATTTAATATGCATATTAGACGTAATTAGGAAGGAAAGATGGAGGAGACCTTGGGGTCAGTAACATGAGTGTTCTTGAGGATCTCAGAGGCGATGGTAGAGCGAAGTTCTGAGGGTTTGGCCACGTCGTTGAGGACGTAGATTTTCATGATTGTAGGGATGGATCTGTACGCCGTCTTGAAGAACTCGAAAACCCGCTTCCGCGCCTCCTCCAAGATTTCCATCGCGTATTTGCTCGAAAAAATAGGATTTTGAGCTTGAGAAATCGGAGAAATTAGTGTAGTAATAGAGCTAGAAATCAGAGATTCATTGCTTGTAGTCAGCAAAGATAAGAAGATGTGTAATAAATTTATTGTTTTTTTATCGTTAATGTCAAGTTTTGGTTCTTCAAGTTTTTGGTGTTTCTTGCCTTCAATTATGTGCTAGATTTGTTCTTATCTTTGAATTATGGTAGATTGCCCTCCCTTTAATTGTAAGATGTGTACGATTTTTTTTTTCTTTTTGGACATAGGAATCCGCAGTCGCTACCCTCCGCGGACCCCGACCACCCTGAAGGGGTGGAGGTCTGACCACTGTGAGTGCACACTAGGTACATCCTGTTCCATGTGCAGTAGCATGCAAACCACACAGGAGAGGTAAACCACACTAGGCAAGTCCGGTGCAACAGGTTCAACCGAGGAAGTGTTGGCAAGGGATTCGAACTCGTGACATTTGGTCTCCGTGCTCACCCGCTCCACCAACTCGACCACCCCCAAAGGGGTAAGATGTGTACGAATTTTATGATATGAAAGAAGTGTCATTAAAGTTTGCATACCTACTGCACTTAAGACGCTGAAATTATGTCATGAAAAGGGGTTTCAATTTAAGAAGGAAAGTGGCGAGTGTGGTGAAAATTTGGCCATGCAATCGCATGGATTCCAACATTGCAATCGCATAGCTTATGTACTTCGAACTTGATTATTTTTTGTCCTTAAACTTGCTTCTTTAATCACTTGAGTCCTTTCTTCGTGTTTTTCTTACTTTATCTTCCAAATTCACCTAATTGACTCCATATGATAATCATTATTCTTTTCAACTTTGAATAATTACAATTTGGTTCTTGAACTTTGAAAATCGTTTTTTACCCCAATTTTCGTTCCATTCTTCCTAATTAACTTTTAATCATCAAGTTTTACTTAACAAACAACATATACAATAGACTAAACCATAATTCATCAAACGTACTACTAAAGATCTATATTTAACAGTAGGGTGGGTATTTTTTTCAGAAATTGGATAGGAACCAGATTTAATCGGTTGGTTCGATTCCAATTCCTTTATCAAATGGATTGACTTTGAGACCATGCATCGATAATTGATCACTTCGGTTCGACTCTTGGTGCTGCCATAAGAGCCAATAGTAAATTCAGTTATTCATAATTTCTCTTTTGGTGGTGTACTACACTAATATGCAAGATGTTTGAATAATAGAACCTACAATTATCTAATGCCAAAATTTCACTTTTCATACACTTCTTTCTTTTGCCACGAATCCTAATAGGTAATTAAAATTTAAATCTAAATAATTTTATTAATAATTTATGAAAATTCATATTTTAAATGCAACGCCAATAAGAAAAGGTGTATTTTTAATTGAGTCTTTTGGAAGAACTCAAATTTCTAATTTTTTTTTTCAAAGTGGTAGGATCATCAGAATCAAGATATTTTCCTTGAAAATTATTGAAGATAATCA